TTAACCTCTAGTTATTTTTTTCAATCTCTTTGATAGTTTGACGAGAACATTTGTATCAATGTAAATAAACTTGTGAAATCAATGACATTCTCAAAAGCCATATAACAAGAATGGTATCGTAAGAAACACTCCAAAACCAAAGAAACCAACTTCCACAAAACTCTACCTCGAATCAAGCCAAGCCCTCTTCGAGAGACGGACAGCAGCTCCGGCCACTGCAACCAATAGCTCCACCAGAACTGGCACTCACAGGCGTCTGCGACCATGACGTAGTAGCCTCTACGCCATTAACCGGCTCAACCATGTTCTTTAATTCACTAATCATCTTCTCAGACTCATCCATCTGTCTCTCCAACTCCACAATATCTGACTCCATAGCAGCAACTCTCTTCTCAGACTCTCTCAACGACCTTCTTCTCTGTTCTCCACTTCTCCAACTCTGCTTTACCTTCTGCTGCAGTCGATTCCAAACTCTTTCAAGTCATCAACCTCCTTCTCCTTGTTATCAATCCTCTCTTCCTATGCTCTTACCTCCTTGTTCATCTCTTCCAACTCCTTCGCCTCCAAAGCACCGAGCTTTGTCTCCAACTCCTTCATCCTCTTCTCGTTCTCCTCCTCCTTAACCCAGCCACCTCCTTAATCCCATCCCTTTTCCGTCTGAGCCGTGGCCGGTTCTTGCTGAAGCCTCACCTTCTCGGTCTCGAGCTCCGAGGACCTACCAGCTATAGCCTCAAGAACCTTCTTCTCCTCCTCCGATTTGTCAATCCATCTCTGCCATCATACGCCTCCTCGCCTTGGCTTCCGCTACTTTCATCTCCTCAATCTCGGCCCTCAGAGCCTCCATTTTCTTGCTGATTTTACCGTTCTCTCTCGCGGGTTCATGATTCTGGCTCTTCGATCTTTCTGTTCGATTCCGTTGACTTTCCACCATCGGAATCGAAGAAACTGTTATCCTCCTGCACATTCGCGTCCCTCTCTTCCGCCATCTCCGGAAATGGATAGGATAATCGAGTGATACACCCTAGAGGACGTCCGCGTTCTCCATATCCAGAAACCACTTGCGGTGGAGCAGCTCCGTAGCTAGGCTGTGCCAGACGAGGTAGAGCATCGTAACCTTTTAATAATTGGGACCAAGATCTATAGTCTAACACTATTAAAAGGAGCATATAAAGCTCTCTGAAGCTGTCCACGTCAGCAATTATAATCAACCAATAGGAACATTTCGTTTTGCCACCTAAGCTAAGCTGAAACGAAAGTTGAACCCGTCTCTCTCCTTCGATTGAATTTCTCTGATCTCTCCTATCCTTTCGTCTTCTCCGGTTCTTGACTTGAGATCTCCTTTACTGAGCACCCTCTTAATGTTTTCGTTTCATCTTCTTCTCTATCTCCTTATTTATAAACTACTGTATCTTAATTTCTTAATTTCCTTCCATTTAAAACAGACAAGCTCATCTATATAAGCCAAATCAATGGCGATGAAACCCAACCTCAAATCACATGTCTCCACCGCCAAGTCTCCCGTTGTGTTGTATTCAGATCCATTATATTAACAACTCTATGTGGTTTTTGGAAGGGCTCTGTTAGCTTGGAAAAGAGCAAAAGGATGGTGTAGCCATAATATTTATTATGATGGATTACAAAACTTTGGAGAAGAAGCAGCAGGCGGTTGATTAGACAATGTCAAGAAGGTAAATATATATGCTTTCTCCCACTATACCCACCAATCTGTATTCATGCTTAGGTCAAAATAACACATATATTCTAAGTTTCTGGTTTGCTAAAACTTCAGAAAAATTGCAGATTTAGGAAGCTTCCTGTTGTAGAGATATGCTAGGCGGTTCATTAGACCACCTTTTGATAATTGTTCATCTCTGAAAGTGTATTGTGCTCACTTAGACACTTTTTGGATATGTTTATTTTAATCTTTTCCTGAAGATGTGTTGATGGTTTGTGTCACACTTATCACTCACAAAACTTTTGTTTCTCTTTGAGCTTCCCGTTGAGCATAGTTGTGAAACCACATCTTCTTTGCTTAGCTGTTGAAATCATTATAGACTCATTGCGAGTGTTCTTAGATTAAAATTTTTATGTTACCCCTGTCTCAGGTAAGTACAGAGCAAGTAATTTTAGAGTGAGCAGAAAATAAGAAGAAGAACTGTTACGACAAGAGTCTCTAAACACCAAATAATTCCAAACCAGAAACAGGGGACAAAGGGGAGGCGACATCAACAGAGCAGAGAGAGAGAGAGAGAGAGAGAGTGACGAGAACAATCAACAAACCATATTGTCCAACCCGGAAGAAACCAAGCCTTAGCCATGTCCAAGATGCAAGAGCATGGGCATTAACATCTGTTATTACAACATAAACCAGCCATTTTTGCAAAGCCTATCAGAGATAGAAGACTGTCCATGTGACTTTGAGGACTGTACCCGAGGTTGCAGGAAGCAGCAAGAACAAAAGCCTATCCTCTCATTATCATCACATCACAATCTCTGAGGTTCTAGGGGCTGCAAGGATCATTCAGAGAATACAGACCAGCACTGGAGTCCTCAGCTTTAATTTAGAAGCTCATCAACAGCACACTAATCCCAATGAAAATTATTTACATCGTATGCTACTGATGCAGAAGTGATTTATAAGTTTTGGAGGTTAATGATATTGGAAAGACACATGCTTTGTACTACATAAATTATGCCTTGCACATGGAGTTTAAGGGTAAGATGAAGACGGCTAATGAGATCTTCAATCTCAGCATCTCTAGGTAAGTCTTCATTCATTTTGGGTTCTATGTGTCGGATTTTTTCAGATGGATTTTTGAGAGAGTGGAATTTTGTGTAGAAATGCAAAGCCTGTGGAGAAGTTGAATGATGCTTACAAGAAGTTCATGGTTAGAACAATGAGAAGGTCCAAAACAGTTGATGATGTAAGAAGTTTCTTCTGTTTGTATGAAGTTTTCTTCTACATGATGATTGATGTTTTTTAACTACCAGCAGGAGCCAAAGGAGAGTGACTTACCGGCAAGAAGCTTTGGGACTTTATTGAGATAACAATAGCGAGTCCCACTAATTACTTTGGGAGTTTTATTAAATGTTTTCTGCTACGCTCTCTTACATGACAATGTTTTTGTATAGATACAGGAAGGCATGCTTTAGGACCACAAGCCAAGAGAACAAAGCCGAATCAGTAAGCAGTATTTCTTGCTTTATGCATATATATATATATATATATATATAAACTTCACCAAAACTTATTTGCGCAACTCACTCTGGCTTGTGCAGCTCATCCAACGCACCGTTGGCTATCTACAAGGACACTACATCGGGGGATCAAATAGAGTCGAACAAGTCAAAACCAGAGTTTGGTTCCTGGCTTATGCTTGGAGGTAGAGCGGAGAGAAACAAAGAGAACAATGCCTTACCTGGAAAATGGACAGCATTCAAGATTTTGCTTCTATTTTAACCTCCAAAACTAAATGTTCTCTCTGTAAATTGATCACTTACCTGCATTGATATCATAGGTTCCTCAGAAAATCCATTTTGAGAACAGCTGCCGCCTCTGCTCTCTCCTTTGAGGTTTTTGTCGACGAAGAAGAAGAATGTACATAGTAAGTTAAGACTTTAATATTTTCACAATATGGCAAAGATGTTTCGTTATTACTTTTGATTATGAAACTGCAGTGAGGGAGTAGAGAAAAATAAGAATGAAACCATCTCATCATCATAATCAAACGTTACCCCTTAACGATAGCCGTGAGATAAAGAAGTAAGCATAGAATCCCTTAACAATTAAATTATTATCATATAACTTGTGTATTTAGCAATGTTTTCTTTAAAAAAAAACCATAGAAAAACAGAGTTGCTGCGACAGAACCCTACTGTAAAGAAAGAAAATTTATCTACTGTAACTATCAAAATATCAAAATATTCAATCTACTAAATATCAAAATATAATTCTATATATATAATTGTAAAGAAATAAAATTTATCTACTGTAAATATCAAAATATTCAATCTACTAAAATATTTTATTCATAACTATAAAATATTCATCAGAATCAATATAAGAGCTTAATTAAATTATCATGCAAGAATATTAACAAAACATTCATGAATAATGCGATAATAACTATTTAATTTTCAATTGATAAATGAAGTAAAGAGCGAAAAAATCTTTAATGAATAAAATTTATCGTGATTCTATATTTTTAGTTTGTTTATATGAATTAACGAATCAGCTACTTTCATTAAAGAACGAAAACAAAAATCTTCTTCTTTTTATTAAACTTTAAGAGCATTAATATATGATATAGTTAAATACTAATTAAATTTAGTACAAAATATATTAGCAATCACCTCAATAATAGCAAAACATTTTAATTATAATCTATAGCCATTATTTGAATCTTCAAATAATTATTAAAAAAAACTAAAATAAGAAAAAGAAAAAAAACTGAATATTACACCAAATACTAAATATGCAGAGTACATGGCAAAGAAGAAGAACAACATATGTTTCTCATCATTTGGTGAGTTAGTTATGGTAATCATTTTCCAGAGTTTAAATCTTAATTCTATTTTAAAATAACAGAAAATAAGTGGCGAAGAAAAAAAAAAATTATATTCCAAATACTATAAAAGTACTTCAACTAAATTTTCTCACGATTTTTAATACCCAAACTTATTTGATACATGTTTAATATTTCAACTAATTATTTTGCTCATTTAATATATGTGCTCATTTTACTACCCAACCTATGCTCATTTTAATCAAAAATTTAAATAAATTCCAAACAAAACTTAAAAAAAAACTTTAAAATTACAATAAGTCTGAAAATTTTGAAATTTAATTTCAAGTTTAGGAATAAAGTAACTAAGTTGTGAATAAAATATTAAAATTTAGAAATTATTTAAATAAATAAATAAGTTTTAAACTTCAGAAAGAAAACTAAATTCTAAATGTAAACTACAATTAATATTATAGTTTTAAATATTATCCACAGTTTAGATAATTTATTCATATAACTTAGAATAAAAATAGAAATTTTAAGATTTTTTTAGATCAATTTTGAAGATTCTTTAAATTTTCATTTGAACTTATAAATAATTTGGGTATCAAAATGAGTAGTGTATTTAAAATTAATAAATAATTAATTTAGGTACGAAACTGGATAATAAAAAAGATTAGGTATTACAAAACTTAATGATATTTAGTTACTGTATTTTCATAGATTTTTTCAATAATAAATTAATAAAAGTACATATAGTTTATTAAATTAAATATAAACATAAACAATTCAATGGACATAATAGTATAAAAATACATTTTTGAAAAAAAATATATATTAAAATACATAATCTACGCGTAGCGCGGAAAAAAAATCTAGGTGTGTGTATGCAAGCGTTTGAGTTTGTATACAATCAAGCTAAGTGCATTGGTGACAAGGAGCAAGAGGAGGTCAAGAGGTTGCATCCTTAGAGAGTTGCTTAACCGTTTCTTCTTTGTTTTTTGCTTGATCCTAACTCAACCTATAAGCAAACATGTTGTGAACTTGAGTTGAGTTTGTGACTATTAGAGAAATTGAACTTTTCATTCAGTCATTCCCTGAAAAGGCATGTTGGTCTTCCTGAATGTACCGTAAAACATTTGGTTCGGTATTTTGATACTTTGGTTTTAATTATTTTTCTTAAACTAACTGAAGTTTTTGGTTTCAATTCTATTTTGGATAAAATTTTCAGCAAAGAAGGTTAAATACATGTTATTTTGGTTCAAAATTTTGGTTAATTTGGTTAGTTTTATTCAAAATTTGGTCAACAATTTTTTTACAAAAAAACTACCTAATTATTTACCGAACCAGAGTTTTTTTTTTAAATCTGCCAAAGCAAACCATACGTCTCACCAAACCGACCTAACAAACTGAAATTTTGATTTGGTTCAGATGATTCTGTAAAAAATCTCAGCCCTCCAAATTTTTCATCAAGTTGAGAAACTTTTCTAAGTCATGTATGTTGATTGTTAGAGATGTCAAGTACACTTTCACCTCTTTAGGTAGTACAGAGAAGCGACCATTTTTTAAGATTGGTTGGATCATATGTTGATTAACTGTATGTACATTTTAGCCAAGGAGACGAACAGTTGATCATGTTTACTTCAGAAACAAATTTGACAATGTTTGCTTTCGTTCGCAAATAACCAAAAAAGACAGACGATACTGGATTAAAATATAAAGTAATTAAGACGTATGGAAATTTAAAACAAATATTAAGAACCAAAGTTTCAAAGGATTAAGAGTAGGTTGTTACTCAAAATATATGAAGATACCAATTAAGTTATGACTTACACTTTATACTGTATATAGTTTTTGTTCACAAAAATCTTAAAGCAAGGGAAGATGATGAGCATGAAAACGTTGTGAGCGTGACAGTGTAAAAACTGGACGAAAACATAAGTCAACGTTTTTATCTTTCAATTTCAACGATATTTAAGGCGCCTTTCAAAGAACAAGTCACATTGTAGAATTTTTTAGATTAGTAGAATAAAAAAATAAGCATGTGAATAATGTTTGGTCGAATGTGTAGAAAGAAAAGTTGGGTGCAAAATATAGTTGTGAATATAATATCTGAAAGTGGAAACATGGAACACAGTTAATCAAAGAAAATGAAAAATAAAATAAAATTGAGGAATAAGAACATTATTGGACTAATTCAAATGGGACACAAAACACCACATTTGGTGTCAACTCATTCCCAATGGAATACCATAAATGACACTATCTTACCAAGTTTGGTTTAGGATAAATAGTATTATACCAAATTTAGTGTAACACAATTCATCAAAAATATTCTATTTACATATATGATTATTTTTCATTTAATAACATAATTTAACTATTATTATTAATTTGTTTAAATTTGTAACAAAACATAAATATATTGTATTATATGTATTTTTAAATTAATTTTACATAATTTCAATATTTTTTTAGTTTTATTGTTAAGTAAGAAAGCACTAAATGGCTATTATCATTTAATTTATATTTTTTTTTTAAAATAAAATATCATAGAAATTTTAATCAATAATTAATACATAATTAAAGTTATGTAATATAATTTGAAAAAAAATTAATAATTTATATAAAAGATACATAAAAGTATAATGTTGTTAAACCAAAAATATAAATGTAAATAAATTTATCAATATAAAATTATAAAAATGAACAAATATAATATTTTAGTGTGATAAAAGAATTATTTATCAATTACAAATAATGAAGATATAAAATTATTCAAAACCTAAAACATCAAATAATTTTAATATTAGTTTTGGTGTAGTATTTGATATCATAGTTGGAGATGACAAAAAAAATGATACCAAAACATCAAATTTGGTGTAATTTAAATACCAAATTTAGTGTTATGTTTTTTTTTTATGACAAACAACCATAATACAAACAATAACATAAAACAATACCAAATTATAATTATTAATCAATACATAAATTGTGTAATACAAACATAAAATATATTAGATATATACATATATGTATATAATATATGAAATAAATAAAACTATTAAAACAAAAGTAAAATTATAGACATCAAATAAAGTGTAATAACATAATTCATATATTTATAAATTATAAAGTTATAGTACATAATCCGCGCGTAGCGCGGAAAAAGGATCTAGTGAGACAAATGGCTTCAAAAAAATCTCCAACAACCAAAACTAATCTATCGTGGACCAAGGGTTTCGAAATTACCCTTTTGCCATTAATGAAAGTTGAATGTGAACCATTAGATCAGATAATGCGAGATATAATCTGAGCCGTCAGATGATAAGAGAAAACTAGGTACAACTAGTATAACTAAACAAGTTAAAAACTGATATAACTAGTATAACTGATATATAAATGTTATAATTCATGTACAATATAGAAATACTATAATTGAAACGATTAATAATCATATTTAGATATGAAATAAACAAACATATATCCTAATTGGTATATATTGACGAAATTCCATCTATTTTATTTGAAGTTTTTTAATTTTTTTTGTTAAATTATTACATTACACTCTTAATTATACATTATATATATATATTATATTTAAGATTTGTTAAGTAAATTAGCTATATTATTATGAAAATATTGGTACAACTTCTAAAATTAAACATATAAACAATTGATATAATTGTTAAAAAAATTTATTATATATTAGACGAGTATTATTAGTGCAACTGGTACAACTTGGACATTTCAAAAATTTGAAAACCAATTTGGTATTCCATATGAGAACACTATCAAATATCCAAAATGGTATGTAGTCAGATTTTTTTCTCCTAATATATTTGAAGTTTTGACAAAAAAACTGAAAATTATTACACGACTCCATTAGTTTATATGATATACCTTATACTTTTAAGGTTTGTTAACTTCTTTGTCCACATATTTTTGGGAAAAC